GTTTTGCTGAGTAAACATTGTAAATCTTAAAGTCCGGGGTGTAGTTTTCTATGTAAACATTCCCAAACGGTTCTCAGCAAAATGTATGACTGCCTCACTCGATACCAATCCCATCTTAATTGATCATTTAATCGGCTTAGCGGCTACAGTAGTCGCTCGCGTCCCTGCCCCGACTGCCAACACGGACAAACCCGTTAGGGTTGGAATCCTGTCTCAGAGATATTATTCTACCAATATTTCCACCACCAGTCCCTAAATATAAAAATAAAATAACCGTACTCTTAAATTCCCAATGTTTTGAATCATTAAACTACAGCCCATAAAAATTATAGATATATTTTACGTGTTATTATATTTCAGAATGTATGACTAGTTTTTTTTTCTATTTCTACATATATCACCGTTAATCTTATGGTTGATGTAAGTGCGGTAAGTATGTTTGTGTTCGTTTTTTTATATACAACACGCGTCCTAAATAAAGACATTTGTCTGAAAGCTAAAAAGCTATCAGGCGGAGATGTGCTATCTCTCATGATGATGAACGACAGCAGAGGAACATAAAAATGACAGTTTTATGCGTTGATTTCACCGTCAAAGCCCTTTACAGCCCTACAAGACCGCTTATTGCCGCCACAATTAGCTTAGAACTTTTCAGGCATGTAAATCACAAGTGTAACAAGCGCGTTCTCGGATCTCAGCCCAGTTTTGTGGTCAATCTAATCCTCCCAATGCATAAATCTAAGAAATGAATTTTTTACTGGTGATGATATTTAGATGTTGTGATGTCAAAGGCGATATGTTGTGGTATTCAGTTATGTTTCAAGATTATTCAAAATTTCACCACTTCAGATTTGTAGGGAAAATGCGATTCACAGAACATCCTTTAGGCTAATTTAGCAGTATTTCTCACACAAATTGTAACAAATGTTGTAATATTTACGAAATGTTATTGTTTTAATTCAATTAACATTGATCTAATCAGTTGAGCTGTATATTCCTTACACACTTAACAGAATCAAAAATGCTATCCTAAACAACTGATTAGTATTAGATAAGGATAGTCAATTGTGACAAAAGGCTCTAACGAGAAATATTGCTATCCGTTAAAATTGACCAGTGTGCATAATGAATTTATTTGACAACACATGAAATAGACAGCTATATATGCTTAAATAAGCATGACATCAAAAACTACACTTCCACTTTCCAGCAATCAAGCATTATCGGTGTGTGAAATGTATTTCAATAAGCTTGTAAATAGCTTTCCTCTAATTTGTCACTATTGTGATTGATGGATTGGTTGGGAGGTGTTATTGACATCCCTAGTAATTGACGCACTTGGTTCTCTGTTGCTGGTAGTTGTTTTTGAAATGGAATACCGTCGATACATTTATTTCTAAATAACATATCCAAAAAGATTACAACCTTACCAACCTAAACTAGCACATGTACATAAATATAACACTTTAACCTAAATTCATCTATCGGGACAATTTACGTAGCACGACACAACCTTGACATTAACACGTATATTAGATAACATCGAGGATAAGATATATTCATTGCTAAAACCCCAAAACATTCCATTGCGGAAAAGGGGTAATTCTGTTGGCAGTTTGATTTTAAGAACACGACATTAAGAAAATAGCATAAGGAGAGAACATAAACACTACCAGCCTGACTTTATTAAAAAATATCCTGAGCAGTTGTACGGCACAATCTGCACCATCAACATCAACAACAACGACCTATTACCATCACTTCGGCTTCCAAATATTGGAATACGTTTATCAGTCTCTGACACTCAAGTATGATTCAATAACTAATATAAATATGGGGCAATTTCTCTCTTTGCTTGGCTTATTTCATCCAGTCTTCGCCATAAAGAAAGACATGTAGAGAGGGAGCGATTCTTCAGGCCTGAGATAAAGTGTGTATTGCCGTGTAAACTGCTTAACAGCAATTAAGCACAAATTGTCGGCCATTGATCGTCGAGAAAATTGTCACAAATCCCCCCGAATTGGAGGCTAAGTCCCTTGGCTGTCTTTAAAACGAACGCCATAGTGACTCGACTTGTCAATTTGAGCACAGTGATTTCTTGCTGTTGAGGCTTGTATTAAATAGTCGCCATAGTGATGTTTGGAACCTTTCAGGCGTCCTACCACTTGCATTGTCCACGCAATTTCACACGAGACTTGATCCTGATGGGTGAACGTGGCTTTTACAACCATACAAAGCCACGTTATGAAAATGTTATAATTTTCTTTTCAAGTATTGCTTGTTTACTTTCAAATCACATATATTTATATCTAATCTTTATATTAATGTTATCCAACATCACATTTTCTGAGCTATTTTTAAACAAAACGTGACTTTAAAATATTCAAAAACGTTGGGGAAAGTCTTAGATTCTGTCAAGGGACGGTGCAGTAATATTAGACAACGCTACCCTAGTATTCAGAAACAACATATATCAAAATGAATTTTAGATTTAAATAATAATTCTCGAAACGGGATAATTGTGGATCGTCATAACATCAACCATGTTGCTATTTGTATGTGATTATTTACAAAACTGACCCAACAATTGATCTCGGGTTAAACCGGGTTATTAGCTTGAGGTAAGATTACTAAGTACAAATTAATTAGGGTCGTAAAGTGCTGAAATTCTTATCAGACCCCGGCCCTTTTCCGTCAGCTGCCATACCGCGACCACATTCCAACTGTTTCCTAGATTTATTGCTGTTGTGTAACGCAACATAAACAAATAATCATCATTTAATTCAAGAGATAACAAAAACATCTATCACTCAGCAAAGCGCCTACTAGGAAGGCATTAACAGTGAAATGAGCAAGCAAGCTGTCATAAACTGCTCGTGGCGATGTTCGCGTGAAGGGTTGTAAATTTCCTTGTCCAGCCGCTTGACCAGTGTCCAGAAGAGGAAGAAGAGTGGTTCACCCCACCAGTTCACGATATTTCAATTGAGACAGCTGATAACATCTGTTGATTATCGCGAGATGCCTATTATATGACGTTAATTGTTTAGATCATATGCAGATAGAAGTGTCATCTATTTCATGTACATTTCAGTGTGGATTGATTTGGATGGATATTGATTACGCTTATCTGAACATCATGTGCAGTGACGTGAAATGATATTTCATGTAACTTATATCTCCAATGTGCCATTATCATAATATTTGTTATCACAGTTTAATGTATTTATGCTATTTTGTATAATAGCATGCATAATGAGTTGAAATGTTGAATCAACGACAGACACATATCTTCACCGTAATTATCGCATAACCATAATTTCTTGAATATGGAAGTTTTTAGTTAACGACCAGCAGCTGTTGTTGTATGGGAAATAGACACTACTAAATCAAACAAACAGTACCGTTAACCAGACCATCCCTATTAGATTATGATAATAAGAAATAGACATCGCTTCAGTCACAACATTAGACTGTAAACCGTTATGCTTTCTTCCATTAATTATGACTGACATCTTTTTATATGTAATATAAATACATAAATGTCTTAAATTTAATATAATAACATTTACTTTTGCCTTAAAGTAAACAGACAAATGCATTCTCATTTTGATAACCTTCACTCATATGTTTGGGATGAAAATTAAGATCTTCATCTAACAGTTCGCTACCATAAGGCGAGGATGACAGAAACTTAATAAATCCTCCAAAATGTATAATTGTCAAAGCTGGTTTCATATTTAAAATATAGAAATGGATCAATCTATTATTGACTTGGGAGCAAATTAAACATCATTTGTCATTACTTGCCCTGAGCTGCATCACTTACACATAATCCATCTTTGCAGAAGTGAATGATAATATAATGTTATTAATCACTCTCCTATTAAAATACATATCTTATCTATGATGAGTCATCGTCTTTTGGAATCTGTTTACGATAATATATCTGCAGGTTTTTAAGAAAAAACACATTTGTATCTCTGTTTTCTGTGAATGAGTCAATCAACAATTATTTATATTATGATTAACTTTATGCTTGCTGTCAACCCGTCAAATACTCTGTAGATTACAAATTTCGTTTTACCCTAACGCCAGTCTTCCTTTGATAGATATCTCTCTCTTGAAATATACGTCAAAATATGTTTTATGATTTATGAAAATACATGATTAATGACCGCAGTTCAGTAAAGCAGATTTTTTCACTTCCGCCTCGAGAATGTTAGAGAGCATTGAGTACGTCTCGGCAAGTCTTCTATACATTTGAGAGAGGTTTTTAACAATGAATACCAGTTGAAACCTGAGAGATTTTGTTTAGAAAATCCCTTGTCATTCTTCAGTTAGTTGAATAAATACTCAAATCAGGCTGTACTTGGGAGAACAGGTTTCAATTTCAGCTTGTGACAGACGATTAGCTCCGATTGCTCATATCACAGCCTATATATCACCACCATCACATCAAGTCTGTGAATGAAATAAGACTATCGACGGTAGCCACATGTATACTTGTGGGACATTTAAAAATATTTATTTGAATGTAAGACATTAAGCTGTCTTATTGCTGGGAGATCATTGGAAAGAAATGTTGAATGAAATAACCAATATATCCTGCCCATTCACCAATTCATGTAACAAGTTTAGAGATTCAATAACTTAACAAAATAAGCATTGTGATCGAAACGGATTTCTGTGTTTACTGAGGGTTTTAGTTAGTGATTCTCGAATGAATTCTCTCTATACTCGAACCTTTTAATACCGGAGAGGTATGTTGTGTTTGAATGACAGATTCAAAAGATGTCAATGTCTAGCTAAATATCTGTCATGGGACAATTTCTGTACGATTCGATATGGACATATTGAAATGCATGACAGCCATATTTAAACCTATACACAACAAAAAAGTGTAAAATCTATGCTAAAAACACAATATAGGTTTTTTCATAACAAGTCATCATTACAAACATTTATGTTCTAAAATGCAAATCAACTGTCACAGCACGTACCTGGATCATTCGATGAGCTCCCTGTATTTTTCCGGACATTTTTCTTCTCCTTCATCCAAGCGAACTCTGGTATCTTTCCCGCGATACAAGGCCCGTCTGGTAGCCCATGGGTGCTGCCAAGACCCTCAACCCCTTCTTGAAGTGGGTGCATATTGTTGTAGGACTGACAATACCGCATGTTTGCCTCGGAAATGATTGATGACGGGAGGGAATCGCTGATATGCGATACTCCACTCATAAACCCCAGTCCTTGTTGATTATATAAATATCCACTCTCGTGGTCCGTTTCCATGTTGAATGTCAAAACACAGACTGGTCAACTCAACTCAAGATTTCAGTTTTCTTATTAAGAAAAGTCCACATCCAGCCATTGATGAGTCTGTGGATGCATTAATACTAAGCTTACACTCAGGCCGAGCCTTCAAGCAATATCCAACGTAGGGAGACACCACGTGACCATGGTCCACCAATCAGCGTCAAGATAACGAATCTTCCCTTCGAGCAGACGAAAAGGGGCCGAACGCACAGTGGTAGTATTCGATCACTAACGGACTCGTTAGGGCATGGGATTACAAGTAACAGAAAAATTTACATTGAAAACTAGGAATTGATTGCGCGAATATATTATTTCGGCACATGCCAGTCGGAATAGCAATATGGCGGATAGTGTCGTCTGCTAGGGCCCCACGCTTCATTAGATCAACACACGGCAATTATAGTCAATAATTTCGTTATTTTTCATCCCTTGTCAGCTTGGCTAACAGCATCACTTCAATTGCGCGACCCCCATATCTTTCAACCGGTAATAAAAAATATCTCAGGCAACCACGCGATCTCTTTTTTCTAACCAGCCATTTAGGTCTGAAGCGCTCGATGAATGAGCGTGTTTTTCAGTAGTCTGCTAAGCAGAATCTCAAGTGAGATAAAATCGTCCTGCTTGTCTAGTATACTCAGTCCGCGCCTGGTGGCATCATATGAACCAGGCCGGGAATACAAGATTGGAACAAAGCTCACAGTCTGCTTGTAGGACGTAGAATTATAACTCAGCCATGCTCGAGTTTTAAACGAGTGAGTATATTTCATACCGGTGTCTATTTTTCATTAATGCACGTTCCTGGCCCTGCCCAAACACGTACGGTATTTTGTTATCGATCTTTGAAATACCCGACCTGATCCTCTCAATGAAATGTTAGTCATATGGGGAGATTTGTGTCTGTTTGGGGGCGGGGGAGTTGTGGTTTTCGCGAAATAACGTCTTTGTTTGGGCTACCTGCTCAAAGACCAGTTTAGCCGACTGTGAACAAGCCAGCCCATCCGACAATACTGGCGTCTAGGCCCACGTCCGTCGCCCCTAACACAGGTGTGAGCATTTTGCTATCCCCCTTCAAGCAGAAGATAGCCTATTGTTCTTTCTATACGCTGCCTATCAACAGCTACCAAGGACACAATTACATCAAACCACCATAATATGCACCCGTTTCTAAAAAAGCCAAATTTGTCCCCACCCTACCCCGCCGGAAACAAAAAGGACCCTTGGGGGAAACAGTCTTTTCGCTTCGAGGTGATAATTTTTAACGCGGGTGCCTTTATGCGTTAAGACGTTGCCGAAGGACACGGGGAACAAGTTGTAATGAAAATCCTATGGCGCACTCGCCATATCCTGTTAAAACCATCTTTGCCTTTTCACTTTTCAATTGCTCTATTGTTCATAATGAAAACAGATTGTAAAGGTTATTCTGCTGTACTTGATCGCTGTAATCTTAACAGGTTAATCTCTCAAAATATTTTTGTCCAACTTGAATCTTCCCGTAACCCTGGGCCATACTGAAATGTTTATCCGGTTTTGGCGAAGTATCCGAAAACATTTTGTTTGAATGCTTAATCTTTTGTAAAGTGTTTTGTCGACAGATAGACAGGTTTTGATTTCTTTTGCCAATTTTCTTATATTATTTGCTAACCCATTAGGAACAGCTGTGGGATAAATTGTTAAGTTAAACATGTGGATTAAATCACTTGTAACAACATCTTTACCTTTGTAGTCATGACAGTATAGACAAATGATATACAAGACACAGTACCTGTTGAAACAATAGCAGAATAAGAAACGTGGAACTGGTATACATTTTCTCTATTGTGAAACACACACGATTATTTTTATAATGCTCATCTTTAAATTTCACATAAATTATTACTATATGCTGGGGTATACATATAAAAATTAGCATATGTGAGTTACGAAACCTTATTAAAATATTGTTATTATATTTATACATTTTATACCCTTTCTGTAAAATGTGTGAGGTGTTTTTATTGATATCATGATTAAAGCATATAATTCTATATGTCTGACACACCTTGCAGGTAAAATTTCTATTGTAATATTTTGAATATACATATAGTATTGTGTGTGTAGTTGTTGCAGTATGCTGTGTGATTAGTGTCCGTCTATAGACTTCATAGTTCTCACAATTTGTCAAAACTTTGCTATATTTCATTTATGCATGTATATTTCCAGGTAGCATGTTTTTTTATTTTCTTTGAATTTCGCAATACCCTTTTCAAAAATGTAATTTCATGGTAGAAAACTGAAAGTAATTGATTTATTTCAACATCGATACTTTCTGAAATGAAATCTATCTTTATTTCAAAGAGACAACTCATAATAGAAATTTGTGTACTAGGTACAACAATAGGATGACAATTTGTAAACACGTTTGTGCTACTTTTGCATTGAAGCAGGCGTATTTCATTAATATATATTTACATATAATTTACATTATCTATTTCATGAAATGGAGACGGAATTCGAAAAAAAATAATTTATGTATCAACTGATAATTTCACACAGCATTCAGTCCTTCCAACATTGTATTGAAAATAATATTACAAAATTGTGATGATTGTTAAATATGTGCATATGTCGTTACGTTATTTTCTAAAAACTCAAATTATTGAAAACGTAAGTCATAATGATTAAAACAATATGTTGAACAGTGTCATCATTGTATAATAATGTGTTCAAATACGGAGGATGATCAGATCAAAGCGGTGTCCAGTTTGACCAAACGGACACACGCAGCGGCAGCATTCTTCCCAGACCGTCCTAACAACCTGTCGCCCCTAGCCTTAATTCGACTTCTCTTAGCACAAGGGTGCGGCGTGGAGCCCTACAACTAATCGGGGTCTCTATAGAAGAAGACGGCCCGGAGATGGTTAGTTTAATTATCACCTTCGCCCAAATTATCTGGTGGTGTTCTTCAGAGCCGTTCAATCATTCGTATTTTGAAGGCCTCATTCCTGTCGGGTTGTGTCAATTTCAACAGATTTGGTCAACCTGATTTTGCCATTCTCTAACCTGGGTTACCGTTCTGGCAACTTGATACGTAGACATGTCGATTGCAGTTCTAACTGGGCTGACAACGTGTCGCTTCCATTGACAACGTGTTGACTTGGCTTGTCACTAGCATGCAATTATCAAGATTTTAAAAATTTGAAATTGACATTACGTCACTCATATTTGTCTATTTCAACACGAGACTGTGCAGGACGAAGGAATCACTTTTTCTGTATACTTTGTTTCGAAGTGCATGAAATGTATTATTTAAAAAATCTATGTCAGTTACTTCAAGTTAACATAATATGATTATGGTGTCTATCATTTCATTATGTGAACTGTTTTCTTTATGACATTTTGCAAATAGGAAGTTACAGAAACATATTAAATCCTGTGAATTATTTGCGGTCTTATGAAGCAAAAAAATTATCACACATTATTAAAAATATTCCATTATGTGTAAGATATAACGCTAATATATCTCCTTTCTAATCCTTTTCTCCAATTTGTAATAATAAGACATGGAATGAAAAAAATAAATTAATATTGAAATCCTCCAGTTTGTTATCAGCAACGAGAAGTGTGATTTATGACTTGTGGTTTTTTAAAATCGTAATGATTTTACTTCTTTTTTTCTTCTTCTCTTTAAATATTCCATAAAAAATTAGAGATTGCGAAAAATGTTAAAGAATCATATTTCACATTATTTTTGTGCAGAAGATTTTCTTTGATTTTTCTCTCTGTTAGCGATATCTCATTTACAGATGACGTTGAATTAACGAATATTTTCTCAGCTGAGCAACTGGGCCCTTCAAGCGCGACTGCAACGTACAAGCGAATGCCTCTCAAATTGAGCGAATCGTGTCTTTCATTTGTATAGGCAACGGAATTAATGGAATTATTGGCTTTAGAACAATTAATATTTCAAATGATCACTCGCGGTTTTGTCGCCAGGGTGATAGAACAATGAATTATGAATGTTGTTACAAGGATTATGAGATTGCACGGATGAGAAGATCAAAGGGATCTACTAACTGATTCATGTGTACAACCGTGGTGGTTGTATTTCAAATGTATATCGTGTCGGTTTATGGTGCTTGTCAATATCAGGAACCCCCTGTTTACAAAAGAATAATAATATATAGCAATTAATTTTCTGAGCTATTAACCCGAAGTCATAAAAAGTCCATAATAAGACACTTGGCTCTTGAATAATAGAATATGTATGGAATACGTACATTAATAAATCGCTAATATACTTGACCTGTCAGGAGTGTACATAGCGGTGTGTATTTCATTTGATACGGTGTCCATTTCATGTCTATTGATCACATAGTTCATGAAGTCATTCTGAACTATTATCACGATCACTGATATTCCTGTTATTGTCAGAATATATACTCTTTAAACACATTTCAATAGAAAACAGAAAAAAACCCATTCGTCTATATTTGGGTATCGTATTCAGGAGCTGTTTTTGTAACAACCACATGTGCAGATTGTCCCACAGAGTGCGGCCCGCACTATCAGCACACAACATTATTAACCTAATTCTCAAGCAGTGCCCTTGCATAATTTCCCAGGAAGCGAAATTTATCAATAGTTTGAAAAACTGCACGTGAAACGCATGCAAGGAATGTTTCTATTTACATTTGTTTTGGCAAAATAAAGCGAATATGAAAGGAACGTTTTTGAGTGGAAACGAACCCTTCTGGGGAAGAAAACCGTTATATGATACGCAGGCTCAACCGCTTCAAATTGGTTTGTTTCTATGTTACAAGCGTTACAGATACCGTTGGTTTACAGTCCAATATCCAAAATACCTCTGAGATTCGTTTACAAAATACCAGCCACCTAAAGCCAACACATTTCCCCAAATTCCTGCAATACCACGTGGAAGTCTAGGATCTGTCCAAGACCGAGGACGGTGGCTCTGTATGCCCCCAAGTCTCACGTCTGATTGGCTGGGACTGCGAGCCGCGTTCCCCTGTCAATTCTCATTAAAAATAATTGACCCAAGACCGGGGCTACTTTCATCGAGCCC